GTGTTTATTAACAGTTGTCTACGCAAAATACTTCGGATTCGTTGGCCAGACACCATCAGCAACAACGAACTGTGGGAGAGAACAAATCAGATTCCAGTGGATGAGGAAATCAGGAAGAAGCGTTGGAAGTGGATAGGACACACATTGCGGAAAGCACCTAAATGCGTCACGAGACAATCCCTCACCTGGAACCCTGAAGGCAAAATGAAAAGAGGAAGACCAAGGAACGAATAACGCCGAGAAATAGAGATAGATATGAGAGGAATGAACAAACAGTGGACAGAACTGGAGAGAGAAGCCTAGGACAGAGTTGGTTGGAGAAAACTGGTGAGCGGCCTATGCTCGATTGTGGGTAACAAGCGTAAGTAAGTAAGTACGTTCTCAAACTTAAAGATTTTCTTAATGATCATTTTGATTAGATGACAGTTATATCACAACTAACCAATCAAATTGTGGTTTAAGCGCCCACCACGTGATCTAATCTGACGTGTCTGTAAACTTTCTTTGTTGTAAATCACCTACTCATTGAAGGACATTATTATCTTATGATTATTGATGTGACTCATAACTCTACTCATTTCCATAAGACACCATATACTGGTCGGTATGTTTGCTCGTTTCACTTGATAATTGTAATTTCCTTAAGTATTGTACTAATCTAATTGTTTTAGAAAGCGATAAAGTTTAAAGCAAAAGTTGATCTTGTCCTGACAATAGCTTTCCTGGCAGACTCTGTGCTCGCCAATATTGTAGGACAAATTAAATCCTACAATGACCTTTTACGATTAACAAACATGAATAGAAAATCAATCAAACAAAATGAGTCAATAAAATCATATCAAGTGTTAGAGAGTATTGCATTAACTTGAAAATATTTTGTAATAATTGTGTGGTGCCCGCTACTTATAAGTAGTATATGACGCGAGTGTCAACGTAATGTCTGGCAGCAGAAGATGGGGCGAAGATCAAGAAGAAAGGAAGAAGAGTGGGAACACAATGGAATTTGTATGAAATGCATGAATAAGTGAAATGTCAGACAATGGATTGATGATGGATTGAAGATTTGCAAATTAACCATTTAGGATATGGTTTTCCTATTTTACTGAGTGACTCTGTAATTTTCGTTTAATATAATTCGGTTGCCCTCACCTGTGTTCTCCTACACTACAATTGTATTTGTTTTTTTAGATTAATTAATTATTTATTTAATTAATCGATCACTGCTTGAATAAACTTTAATGACGGTTTTCAACTGGATGTAAAATATTTTTTTAACAGAAATGCACAGAAATGCATTTACGAAATAAACATTATTTCGCAACGTTTTTATTGATTGGCACATTATCCTTATTTGGTATTAACTCTTATTTATGTAAATAGATATTAAAAAACACCAACGCAATCACTATAGTGAATTTTAAAATAATATTTTGCTTATTCAGAGTAATTGTTAATTCTTAAACTTCTTGATATAGTTATCTGATTATCGACGATTAACAGGTTTGAATTCTATAGGATTAGCAAGCCAATTTAAAGTGAAAAACCATTATAAACCTGAAAGGACTGGATGGTCAATGCGATCTATCATGGAAATTCGAAGTAGTATTCATCCAAGACCTCGCAAACGTTAGTTGAACCTAGGATCATTTGTCTCACACGCGGACTCTTCACTCCTAGTGTGGTGTGCGCCACTTATAAGTAGTATATGACGTGAGTAGTGTCAACTAATGAAAAGCGATAGATACACACAACCGCCATTACAGTCGATCCCAGTAACCGCAGTCGATGATCTATGGTTGGTGGATATAATGGGACCGTTTCCACAGACGGCAACCGGTAACTGGTACCTGCTAGTGATGACGGAGCATGCTACACGTTGGATAGATGCCGTACCCATTGCAGACCACCGGGCAAGAACAGTGACCGAAGTGGTGATCCGGCATATTGAAGCGTGCCACGGAATACCAAAAATGATAATAACTGACCAGGGTCCCTGTTTTGAAAGTGACGAGTTTAAAGGCCGTCTAAAACAGTTTAGCATCAAGCGGATACTAACTACACTGTATCATCCTCAGACAAACGGGCTTACGGAGAGAAACAACCGGACGTTAAAGGAATGGTTAGCATCTAAAGGAGGAGATCGGGAGAAAGAGTTACCATTGATTTTGCTGGCGCATCGTTCCTCCATACAAGGAACAACCAAGAAATCACCCTTCTCGCTCATGTATGGCAGACAACCGCGACTTCCATTGCACAATAAGACCTGGCCACAACAACAGAAATGGACAACAACAAGGTTAAGAAAAGAGAGGAGGGAGGCAATCAGGAACGTGGGAAAGAAGCAAATATCAGACATAAAGAATGAGGAACAACAGGGGAGAACGTGGAAACCTTTTGCAGTGGGGGACCTAGTAAAGTGTAGAGAACAAAAAAGTAGCATAGCAGTGGGATCAGGGCGGGAAAATCTGATCCCAAAGTGGGAAGGACCGTACGTTATCATGGAGAGACGCGGCGCGGTGTACACGAACCGGAGAGAAGACAAGCAGAAGCGTTTAAATGCCAGTCAACTGCAGAGGTGGTTTCAAGATTATCACGTGTGTGTGTCGCGAAAAGCACCAAAGAAGATAGCGGTACGGCGATCAGAAAGACTACGATGACAGCTTATTAAAAAGGGGGACGAGTGTGGTGCGCGCTACTTATAAGTAGTACATGACGCTAGTGTAAACGTAATGTCTGGCTACAGAAGATGGGGGAAGATCAAGAAGAAAGGAAGAGTGGGAACACAATGGAATTTGTATGAAACGCATGAATAGTGAAATGTCAGACATTGGATTGATGTTTGCAACAGGAACAGTCCAGTTTGATTTGATGGATTGATATTTTGCAAATCAACGATTTACGATACGGTTTTCCTATTTTACCAATTAATTCTTTAATTTGAGACAAACACAACTCGGTTGCCCTCACCTGTGTTCTCCTTCACTACTAGATCACTGAGTTATCATCCAACGGTGTTGATTTCTGGTTAGACTGAGAGCCCTAAACTCGATTCCCATGTATGGGGTCGTGAATATACACTGCTGAGCAGATCGAAATTTGCACAAAACAGCTTCCCAGTTCCTTCAAATCCTAAATAGCAATCCAAGTTAGATCTGTTCATGGTTTCAATGACGTTTTGAAAAGATTTATTAATATTTATGGATTTCACCATTTTATAGAACTCCTATAATTACAGAATTATCAAATACAATTTTATATCTCGAATACTGAAAACCTGACTCAGATTTTTATCGAAGTTTGGTGATTTTTATCACTGAACATCTGTTATGCATTGATGCATATAAACTACGATTACATGAAATTTAAACTTTTGATCACATGTTCATTAATAGGATTCCTAAACAAAATAACTGCAGTAAGTAATCTTCTAGCGCAAATCAACTGATTTCTATAATGAATAACAACAGTACTAATAAGTTTTATCCCTTAGGGATAACTCAGACTTTTATCTTTCAGTTTCTCTCGTCTACACATTGATTGAGGCATGCTAAATTCTGTTTCCAACTTCTCAGAGTTATGAACATGGTATTGAGGTATAGTTGTGTAAGTAGTTTTTCTCTCAATCAATTATTTTTCGACGAAACAACAATGTAAGATGAATAATTTCTCCAAACAACTACATTCAATGATATCGTCAAAAAATGGTTTATTATGCCTTCTTAGATGCGTGGACACACAAAGAAGGAAATAACAGCAAGATATTCACCTAATTAACAACTTACTTACTTACTTACTTTCGCCTGTTACCCCAAATGGAGCATAGGCCGCCCACCAGTTTTCTCCAACCAACTCTGTCCTGGGCTTCTCTCTCCAGTTCTGTCCAATGTTTGTTCATTCCTCTCATATCTTTCTCTATTTCACGGCGTAATGTATTCTTTGGCCTTCCTCTTTTCCTTTTGTCTTGAGGGTTCCAGGTGAGGGCTTGTATCGTGACGCAGTTAGGTGCTTTCCGCAATGTGTGTCCTATCCACTTCCATCGCTTCTTCCTGATTTCCTCCTCCACTGGAATCTGACTTGTTCTCTCCCACAGTACGTTGTTGCTGATGGTGTCTGGCCAACGAATACGAAGTATTTTACGTAGACAACTGTTAATAAACACCTGTATCCTCTGGATGATGGCTTTGGTAGTTCTCCATGTTTCCGCTCCATACATTAGAACTGTCTTGACATTTGTATTGAAAATCCTTATTTTGGTGTTGATTGATATCTGTTTGGAGTTCCAGATATTTTTCAACTGTAGAAATGCAGCCCTTGCTTTGCCAATCCGTGCCCTCACATCTGCATCGGATCCACCTTGGTTGTCGATGATGCTGCCAAGATATGTAAAGGTGTTAATGTCCTCCAAGGCATCTCCATCAAGAGTGATTTGATTGGTGCATGTTGTGTTGCATCGGAGAATTTTGCTCTTTCCTTTATGTATGTTGAGACCTACTGTTGCTGAGGCTGCTGCTACACTGGTCTCCTTCTCTTGCATTTGTTGTTGAGTGTGCGATAGAATAGGCAGATCATCTGCGAAGTCCAGATCGTCCAGCTGCGTCCTAACTGTCCAGTTGATACCGTGCTTCCCTCCAGCTGTTGACGTTTTAAAATGGTTTGAATTATTTTTTTCTGGTTAGCGTTTTTTTGGCAAGTTAGTTTTTGACGGAATGGGGTCGCCAACCCCATGTCCAACCCTCCTCCTTTACCCGGGCTTGGGACAGGCAGTAGCCCCGAAGGTTCTACTGGCGGAGTTAATTAATAACACTATTTGTTAATTTCACCCAAAATAAAGAAAGACACAACATTACCAAAGTGAACAACTGCATTATTGGTTGCTTTATTTCATTTCATAATATTAAAATGAGTACAAATTATTATTATTATTATTATTATTATTAGAGATAAAAATACAATTCGATTGCTTGAAGAAGTTTTTGAACTGGCATTACAATAGTCCTCACTGCAGCAAGTATAATTGAAATCAACATATTTTTTTAATGAACTATTTGAACTACAGGTATCTGAACATCCTTTCATTGTTAAATATGGACTACCAATTGTAAGTGACTAAATAAATCAGGTGAAAAGATAACAAAACAGAAATACTTTATAAAAAAATAAGTAAAAAGTTAAGTTGCAGAACATAAAATTTAAAATGGGTCTGGCTATATTGAACTCACTCATAAATTTACAGTTGTCTATTCTCTTAAATCACGTGATCACTTAGGGTATTTCTTTCAGATATCGTGCAATTCATTTATTTTGATTAAAGCAATCTTATCACTTAGATATCTCTAACTCCGCCAGTAGAACCTTCGGGGCTACTGCCTGTCCCAAGCCCGAGTAAAGGAGGAGGGTTGGCGACCCCATTCCGTCGAAATCTAACTTGCCAAAAAAAACGCTAACCAGAAAAAATAATCCAAACCATTTTAACTTTGACCTGGGAGTTGGAAGAAGAATTATGCAGATGTGAGGGTGCGGATCGGAAAAGCAAGGGCTGCATTTCTACAATTGAAAAATATCTGCAACTCCGAACAACAATCAACCAAAATCAAAATAAGGAAATTCAATGCAAATGTGAAGACAGTTCTACCGTATGGAGTGGAAACTTGAAGAACTAACAAAACCATCATCCAGAAGATACAAGTGTTTATTAACAGTTGTCTACGCAAAATACTTCGGATTCGTTGGCCAGACACCATCAGCAACAACGTACTGTGGGAGAGAACAAACCAGATTCCAATGGGGGAAGAAATCAGGAAGAAGCGGTGGAGTTAGTGGATAGGACACACATTGCGGAAAGCACCTAACTGTGTCACAAGACAAGCCCCCACCTGGAACCCTAAAGGCAAAATGAAAAGAGGAAGACCAAGGAACACACTTCGCCGAGAAATAGAGAAAGATATGAGAGGAATGAACAAACATTGGACAGAACTGGAAAGGGAAGCCCAGGACAGAGTTGGTTGGAGAAAACTGGTGGGTGGCCTATGCTCCATTAGGGGTAACAGGCGAAAGTAAGTAAGTAAGTAAGTAAGTTAGCTGTCTCTAATTTCAATCACTGAGTTTTTGTTGTTGCGTAGTTTGCATACTTCATGTAACCGTACTTTTCGTATATCACTCGTCCTGATAACCGGCATTAGATAACATCAAACCATGTACACATTTCAGAGGAAAATACTAAAAGTTAATTAGAGTATATTATTGTGTATCTCAGATCACAAAGCCACATATAAACTAAGTGAATACCGAACAGACATACGAATACAAAATAAAGTGATGAAATATGTGATAACGAATAAGTAGGATTTCAGATACTTACTTACTTACGCCTGTTTCCCTCAATGGAGCATAGGCCGCCCACCAGTTTTCTCCGACTCTCTCCTCCGTTTACCTCTCCAGTTCTGTCCAATGTTTGTTCATTCCTCTCATATCTTTCTCTATTTCTCGGCGAAGTGTGTTCCTTGGTCTTCCTCTTTTCATTTTGCCTTTAGGGTTCCAGGTGGGGGCTTGTCTTGTGACACAGTTAGGTGCTTTTCGTAGTGTGTGTCCTATCCACTTCCACCGCTTCTTCTTGATTTCCTCCTCCACTGCAAACTGGTTTGTTCTCTCCCACAGTATGTTGTTGCTGATGGTGTCTGGCCAACGAATCCGAAGTATTTTGCGTAGACAACTGTTAATAAACACTTGTATCTTCTGGATGATGGTTTTGTTAGTTCTTCAAGTTTCCACTCCATACGGTAGAACTGTCTTCACATTTGCATTGAATTTCCTTATTTTGATTTTGGTTGATTGTTGTTCGGAGTTGCAGATATTTTTCAACTGTAGAAATGCAGCCCTTGCTTTGCCGATCCGAGCCCTCACATATGCATCGGATCCACCTATCTCGTCGATGATGCTGCACAGATATGTAAAGGTGTTAACGTCCTCCAAGGCATCTCCATCAAGAGTGATGTGATTGGTGCATGTCGTGTTGCATCGGAGAATTTCGCTTTTTCCTTTATGTATGTTGAGACCTACTGCTGCAGAGGCTGCTGCTACACTGGTCGTCTTCTCTTGCATTTGCTGTTGCGTGGGCGATAGAAGAGCCAGGTCATCTGCGAAGTCCAGATCGTCCAGCTGCGTCCTATCTGTCCACTGAATACCGTACGTCCTTTCAGATGTCGACGTCTTCATAATCCAGTGGATGACCAGGAGAAAGAGAAAGGGTGAGAGTAAACAACCTTGCCTGACACCGGTCTTCACCTCGAAAGAGTATGTGAGCTATCCTCCGTGCACGATTTCGCAGTTGAATCCGTCATAAGAATTCAGTATGATGTTAACTATTTTCTCAGGCACACCGTAGTGTCGAAGAAGCCTCCACAGTGTTTTCCTATCCACACTATCGAATGCTTTCTCGTTGTCAATAAATTTGATGTAGAGTGGTGAGTTCCATTCAATCGATTGTTCCACAATGATCCGTAATGTTGAGATTCGGTCAGTACACGATCGATGCTTATGAAATCCGGCCTGTTGATCTCGAAGTTGGTCGTCTATGAAGTCCTTCATTCTGTTTAACAATACCGTGTTGAAGACGTTGCCTGGTATTGAGAGAAGAGTGATGCCTCTGTAGTTCTCACATGCAGTTCTCAGATGCATATATATATATCGAGTGATTTAAGCAACCAATATTTAAAATATTAAGAGGAGTATGGTTGTAGGCTGTAACACGTGCTCCAGCGTACATGTTTACATTATTAGTATCATGTTTGTATGAAGATTTAGACAAATTGTTATTGACTGAATGAGACTGTCCATTGAATAATTTCAATGAACGGCTTAACAAAATAAACATATACAAACTCAGATGTACCTGAGGCTCTATGAGTGAATGAAATGAACTATCCATTAAACCAACAAGTTCACTTTAGGCGTATAGTGACGAAACACATATTGGACCAGCGAAAATTTATCAGGTAACGTATAAATAAAATCATGTAAGTTTACGGAGCAAGTCGGAATTCTTCGAGGACGCTCATTGGGTATGAACGTATTAAGCCCACTTCTCCAATATGCCAGTAGTCAGTATAACATAGTATTGAGGTATGATTAATCTTATGACAGTTAGATATATACAATATTTTCTGACTACAACTGTTTAATTTTAGTCGTTCACTTTATTTTAAGATGATATTCCATAAACTTACAAGAATAAATGGTTTCTGACAAACACTATGATTGTATTGATACATAAATCTTGTAATATCAGATTATGTATGGTAAAATGAATCGGTTATACGTTTGAATAGCATGTTTGAAGTTCGTGGTGATGGTGTTTGGTTCTCTGAGCTGAGGATGTTTTGGTTGTGGAGCTTTCATTGTTGTTCTGCTGAACAACATCATCAGCACAAACTTCTTCAGATAGAAGTGAAGCATTCGAATTTCTCCACGTTTGACCTGTTGCTTGTTCTGCAAGCCTCGATTGATTTCTGTTGACCTTGAACCTGTTGTTGCTTGCACCTTTGTTTTGATTGAATCCCCCTTCTTGATCTGTTTCTTGATCCTATGTCACCTATGATTTTCCTGATAAGTTGATAAATTGGGTAAATGTCAATGTGTTTTTTGATTGCTGATTGACCTGAGTGCCAAGCTTCTAAAAATTCCCTAGATCAAGATCGAGGTTAGCAGAACAAGCTACCGGTCATACTACATGGAGAAATTCGAATGCTTCACTTCTATCTGAAGAAGTTTGTGCTGATGATGTTGTTCAGCAGAACAACAATGAAAGCTGCACAACCAAAACATCCAGCTCAAAGAACCGAACGTCACCACCATAATCATCTACCTGAGCTACAAATCTTCTCCATCATGTTTGGAGTTCATTTGTATGAGAATAATATCCAGTTTTGAAAAAAATAGTTGAAAACCTACATCCATTTCATGGGAAACAATAGAATCACAAATAAATGAAACAGGTACAGTACCATGACGCTATGATACATGCAAATCTACATCCATGATAAATAATTTATTCATTTTTGAAACCATGAATCGATCAATGGTGGTCTATCATTGATCGATTCATGGTTCTAAAAATGTGTAACTTAACAATCTTCACAACCCCGTAATGCAACATTACCTGTGCTCACCAGTGACTAGTTCCGTGAGAAATCTTCTCCGAGTTCTAGTGGGAAGACGTGACTACTGAAGCTCAACCTGTTCGGGTGTAGATAGTAACTACCGAAGACTATGAATGAGGTTTCGCAACTGCGTGAATTGATCAAGTTAGACGTTAACACTTTTAGATACCGGCTCAGTGGTCCGATGGTTAGGTGTTCGCCTACAATACCGAAGGTCTTGGGTTCGAACCCTGCGAGGAGCAGGAGTCGTGGATGCGCACTGCTCGTGAGTCCCATACCAGGACTTGACGGCCGTGTTTCAGTGCTTCCAGGTTTCTAATGGTGGTCTAACATTGGTCGATTCATGGTTTCAAAAACGTGTAACTTAACAATCTTCACAACCCCGTAATGTAAATAATTCATTGAAAAAAAAATTAATTTTTTGACTTTCAACTTATGAATTTCTTATTGCTTAGTATTTAATCAAAAATATTTAACAAATGAACTGTTGTAACAAGTTAGGATAATTTTATGAAAAAAAAAACTTAATGATATATTATACATTCTTTGTACTTACTGCGCACCACTTACAAGAACTATCAACTGTCACTAAAGGTGATGAGTAATCCATTGGAACTGGACATAAATTACACTGATAACATTTGACTGAAAAAGCTAAAACAGGAAATGTTAAAACATGATATCTAAGTTAGTAATGAACTTCTTTAGTGGGACAGTAATAAACTCAACTGTATAATACGTCCTATTCGATATCAATACACTCATAAATAATAAGTACTTAGAAAGGCATTGATTGATATTCATCATATTCTGTATCCAATAAAATTACTTACATACTTGCGCCCATTAACCCCCCCCCATCAAAGGAGTATTGGCGACCGATCAACTTTTTCCAACTTACACTGTCCTGCCACTTCCTTTCCAGTTATGTCCAATTTTCGTTCATTCCTCTCATATCTGTCTCCATTTCTCGGTGTAGTGTGTTCCTTGGCCTTCTTCTCTTCTTTTAAAAATTGAGGGTTCCGAGTGAGGACGTGTCTTGTGACGCATTTGAGTACTTTCCGCAATATGCGTCCTGTACACCACCTCTAGAGCATCTTCCTGACTTCTTCCTCCGCTGGAATCCAGCTTGTTCTTTCTCACAGTAGGTTGTTGCTGATGGTTTCTGACCAACGGGTCTGGAGTATTTTGCGTAGACAACTGTTAATAAATACCTACATCTTCTGGATGATGACTTTTGTAGTTCTTAATTTTCCACCCCAAACAGTAGAACTGTCTTAACATTTATATTGAGAAATCTGAGTTTGGTGTTGGTTGATAGTTGTTTGAAGTTCCAAATGTTGTTCACTTGGAGAGAATATTGCTTTTCCCTTTATATATGTTGAAACCTACCGCTGCTGAGGCTCCTGCTAAACTGGTCGTGTTCTCCTGTATTTGTTATTGCGTGTACGATAGAGGAGTCAGATCATCTGTGAAGTCCAACTCGTCCATCTGCATCCTGGCTGTACACTGTATACCGTGCTTCCCTCCAGATGCTGACGTCTTCATAATCCAGTCAAACACCGGGAGAAAAAGAAAGGGTGAGAGCAAGCGACCTTGCCTGACATCGATCTTCACCACAAACGAGTTTGTCAGCTGCCCTCCGTGCATGATTTTGCTGTTTAGTCCATAGTGAGAATTCCGTATGATGCTGACTATATTCTCGGGCACACTGTAGTGTCGAAGAAGCCTCCATAGTGTTGTCCTTTCTAATTTATCAAATGCTTTCTCGTAGTCGATGAAGTTGATGTAGAGTGGTCAATTCCATTCAATTGATTGTTCCACAATGATCCGTAATGTTGAGATTCGGTCAGTACAAGATTGATCCTTACTAAATCCGGCCTGTTGATCTCGAAGTTGGATGTCTACGAAGTCCTTCATTCTGTTTAACAATACCCTGTTGAAGACGTTGCCTGGTATTGAGAGAAGAGTGATGCCTCTGTAGTTCTCACACTTGCTGAGAACGCCTTTCTTTGGTATTTTGATGAGGTATCCTTCTTTCCAATCTGTTGGTAATTGTTCTTAATCCCAAATCCTTCTGAGTAGAGTGTGGAATATTTTTGTAGTTGATGCCACGCCTGCTTTTATTACTTCTGCTGGAACGTTGTCTGGTCTCGCTACTTTGCCGCTCTTGATTTTTCTTTGCCCATGCTGATCTCTTCAATTTTTGGTGGGCCAACATAGATTTTGGATGGGTTTAGTAGGGCTGGTCGACTGAAGAGTCCCTTAAAGTGATCTACCCACCTGTTTCGCTGTTTTTCAGTATGTGGTTTTGAATCTATCATTTGGATTGTAATATGATTTTTCTCTTATGGATCAGTTTGAAACATTTTGTCGGTTAGTAAGTGAGTTTATGAAAGGTTAAGTGAACTATAGAAATTTATTGATGACATCAAGGTGTTCAATTTGTCTATCCATTTGTATATTGATTTCGATACTCACTTTAAATAGACCACGAAATAACCAGTTAGACGTGACATCAAGTTTCTGAAATATATCCGAAAAAATCAATGCTGATGACTTTCGTAGTTCTCAATTTTCCACCCTAAACAGTAGAACTGTCTTGACATTTTTATCGAGAAATCTGATTTTGGTGTTGGTTGATAGTTATTTAAAGTTCCAAATGTTGTTCATTTGTAGAAGTGCTGTCCTTGCTTTGCCGATCCGCGCCTTCATATCTGCATCAGATCCACAGTACTCATCAATGATGCTACCCAGATATGTAACGATGTTTATATCAACCAACTTTCTAACCTATTTTCATGCAAATGATATTTATGCTTACAACCAAAAAATGTTTATTCAAATCTTATTAAGAGCATTCGTCAATCTGACTGAATCTAACTTTGATGTGGTTTACCTGTAGTCAAATAACAATTGACAAGTCTTGTACATCAATTTTAGAAATCATAAATTCTTATAATCTACTTAGTGTCTTCATTTATATATAGCACCGTTGTCTATGTGTCTGCTTCAGTTTATTTTCTAAACAACAGGATATATTTCCTATTTCCGTCAAAGTTAAATAATTAAAATGATATATTTGTCTCTTGTAGCCCAGGAAAGAGTTGGTTGGAGAAAACTGGTAGGCGTCCTATGCTCAATTGGGGGTAACAGGCTTAAGTAAGTAAGTAAGTAAGTAAGTAAGTAAGTAAGTAAGTAAGTAAGTAAGTAAGTAAGTAAGTAAGTAAGTAAGTAAGTAAGTAAGTAAGTAAGTAAGTAAGTAAGTAAGTAAGTAAGTAAGTAAGTAAGTAAGTAAGTAAGTAAGTAAGTAAGTAAGTAAGTAAGTAAGTAAGTGGTTTCTCTCTACAGCAGCACATATGTCTATAAAATGTAAGTGATAATGAAAATGTTAGTAGATGGAATAATCAATCATCAACTTTTATCAACTCACTGTTATCTATATTCATCACCCCAAGCACTGATATCATCAACAAGATTTCCAGGTTACTTTTCATGATACTGCACTAAATAATCACGTATTATTTATGTTACCTAAACACTCCAACACTTAAATATATACATACTCTATCATCATTTGAAAGTTAAAATTGATTTGTTGAATTTATTCATCGAATTATAATTTGTTATGTGAAGTTTATTAGCGAGTGAAAAGTTAATCGAGTATACTACTACTATATAAGTAATTTGAGTAAACAGTTACACTTCTGTTGTAAATATGCATTATTTGATCAGCACATTAGTTCTGGACAATTAATAAATATGAAAACTGAGAAGTTTATATTTATTTTAATTACAATGTCAATAATAGATAGCACTTACTAAAAATACCACCAAGCCGTAATTTTTAAACGGATAGAGTTAACATTTTATCGATTCGTAGAAGCAAGAATATGGTTCACAGTAATAATTTTCGTTACTCAAATAAATTTCATTATCAAAAATTTGCTTTACATAACCTGATCTCATATAGATCCTTCTCCGTCATCAAGTAATTAAATGAACTGTGATTAAGTTACTTCTGGTCGCTGTTCTATATGACATGAAAAATAGGTTTAATTTAGCGAGTCTATCTTCAAACAGTAGCTTGGAGATTCCAGGAATCAACTTAGTTGCTGTTTTTAAAACCTTTTCCAACAGCTTACTCTGTTTATAAGGCAAGGACTAGCTGCTTGTGTGCATTACTCAGGTTTAGGACGAATGAATACTGCATACAGAGTCAAAAATGTCTTCGAATCGACATGACTAACGGCTCCATAAGGTTATAAAACGTTTGGCAGCTATTGCACTTCGGTGTGCTGTAGTTTTTAAGTCTTGTTTAATGACGAAGCCTAGGTCATTGTGTGTTTGAAGAATAGGTAGCTCAGATTAATTTGCCCTGCATTTATCTGTATCTTTGTGACTAATATGTTTCACGATGCATTTGTAAGTGTTTATCGGCAAATGCCGAGTTCTATACCATTGATATAATTTCTATAGCTCATTTTGAAGCTGTAGACTATCACCTTCATTTCTATTGCTCCCTATAGCTTGATATTGTGAGAGCACAACAAAACTGATGAATATAGGAGCCTAGGAACGTCGTTTACTTGCAGAAAGAACAACACCGGATCCAAAACAATACCCTGAGGCACTCCGTTTGGCACTGTTCCTCAGCTAGACAACTTGGAGCTAAGCCGCACTCTTTGCTGCCATTCAACGAGAAATTAACTAATTCACAAAAGTCACCCCCAGTTTCGATATCACTTAACTTGGATAAAAGCTGGTTGTGAGGGACTTTATCAAAAGCCTTTCTAAAGTCAACGAAGGATAGATTGATTTTGATTTTTAAAGGCGCACCAACTATCAAGAGTTATTAACAGGCTTGTGAGACATGAATAACCTGTTCTAGTGCCAAGCTGTTTCTCAGAAAGAATCCATTTTTCGTCCAGGTACATGAATAATCTTTCCTAAAATTTTCAAAACTACTCTAGTTAGGCTTATGGGTCCATAGTTCTCAGGTTTGTCTCGTATCTGTTTTGGATATAAGATTTACTTTAAGTAATCTACCTTGATTTACAGATAGATTAGAACATTTGCTTAAGAGATTCACTGTACAACTTACCAGTTTTTTGAGAAATCTAGAATTCATTTAATTATAGATTTTTTGAATCAAGCTGAATTAAGACATCGAATTCCTTAGTTGTCAGAGTTATCACAGTGTGTGTGCATAGAGGAATGTGTATAAAATGCTAAATTAATTCAAGAAGATCTGAGCTTTATCATATTCATCTTCTACCGATCATGTAGCACTACTGTCTTCTCATAATGCTGGGATGGTACTTCTTCTCTTAGTCCGTTAGTTTGTGTAAGAGTATAAGCTTTTTGGGTATTATGTAAGTCCTTAACTAGTTTTACTTTATGTAACCTTTTGAACTTGTGAAGAGTTGAGAAACAAAAATTTCGGTCTTTCCGATATCCATATTTAGTTGCATCAGTGCTGAACACCTTACATTTTTCTCAAATCACTTTCCGCTAACGAATAAGGATGAGAACATCCTTACTGAGCAAGGATGGTTAGTTTCACGGTTTCCTTGCTATAGGTCAAGAAATGTGCTGTGCATTCACTTTCATTCATGAATTTCTAAACACCCTTAAAGCCGTTTCAATGGAGAATTCTGGTTCTATTTTACAATCTACTAAATATATCGAGAGTGTAATTTCATGTATGTTCACGTCTGGTTTGGCTTGAGCTAACACAGTGCTTTTTATTAAGGAAATGGAAATCAAATACAAGAACTGCATGTTCAGTCTTATTTATGAGTGCTTTGTGAGTGAAGTTTGTGACATTTTTATTGCATTATGCGGTTGTGGAGATTGTTGAGTTACTAATTGAAATCATGAATCGATCAATGTTAGACCACCATTAGAAACCTGGAAGCACTAGACATCAGTTTCGTCCTAGAATGGGACTCACCAGAAGTGCGCATCCACGACTCCTGCACCTCACAGTATTCGAACCAAGGACCCCCGGTCCTGTGCGTGAACGCTTAAATTCTGAACCACTGAGCCGATATTGACACAGTGTTAATTTCTAACTTCGATCAATTCACGTTCTTGCACAACCTCATACACAGTCTTCGGTAGTTACTGCTTACACCCGGAAAGGGTTGAACTTCACTGGTCACGTCTTCCCACTAGAACTCGGAGAAGATTCCTCACGGAACTAGTCACAAATGAGAACAGTTAATTTCATTATGGAATTGTGAAGATTATTGAGTTACTTGGTGAAACCATGAAATGATCACTGATCCAGAGTTTAGTCGTATGCTCGCGGGATTGAAGTCCCCGGGTTCGAATTCTGTGAGGCGCACGTTTCGTAGACGCGCACTGCTGGTGAGTCTCATACCAGGACGAAACTGACGTCCAGTGATTCCATGTTTCCAATGGTAGTCTAACATTAATCGATTCATGATTTCCATAGGTGACATTATCATTGCTATGAGGCAAGTGAAATATGGCAATGATGATTCGAAGTCCGAGCAAAATCTAGTTGCTTCTTTTACCTGTTGCATTAGGGCTCATGTAAAAACCGCGTCGACTAGTTCTCACTCGAAAGGATTTTCCGACAATTCAGTCCTGCTGCTTTGGAGACTGATAATTCTTTAATAAAATTAAGTAGTTTATTTTTTTAAGTTGCATAAATTCATCATTTTTCGTTGGAGTAACAATCACAGTCACGTTACATACATTTTGAGAACGTGCCTGAATGATGATGACTTAGTGTTCAGACTGTTTTTTCTGACTTCACCTTCAGATGAGGATGTGGCACGAAGGAAACCTGTTTTCTTGAGTTTTCATTTCTCATTGACTTCTTTAAAGTCATCTCTCTTTCTTTTTCCTATTTAAATCGGTCTGTTTTTTTCCTGAATGGGATGACTGTACATCGTTTTGTATTTCAATCGAGCCAGCATCAGTAGACGCATTTCGATTGCACTTACTAATATATCTTTTTGAGAGTGCTTACAGTTGAAATAGAATCGGGTAGTAAGTTCTTTGAGTCCGAGCAACGTTGTTAGCATAGCCAAACACATTCTGTTTGTTAACTATTTTAAAAGTTGGAGATGTTAGATTCGTTCAAACTTCATGGTACCACCTTTCACATTCATTGCACTGCATACCATTTTCCACAAGTTTACAAAAGTTCAGGCATTTGTTATCCAGTCATCGAAAAGAGGTTTACAAATAGCTTAAACAAAGGGACAAGTGGAGATAATGAATAATATCGAGAAGAAAAAGATTCAAACCGTAAAATATTAGGTCGAAACTTTTCAGAAATAGAAAAATAAACCAATAGACTCAATAAAATACAGATATGAAATTACTTATGGTAAAAAAAATCTCTGAATGTTACTTTGAATTCATTTATTCGATTAGGGTGAAAACAGTGGTTTGATGCATTATGACAGTCAAAATGATAGATTTAACTCAGTAAGGAAAAACACCGCTGTTCCTTTTTTAAAAAGTTCCGGTTCAGAAGTTTCATAGCTCTTTTCAAATGACAGTTTCTTTTTGTAAGTCATGATTGTATGAGTAAATCTTTTAAGGATTTTTATTAACAGTTCACAGATGCTGTGGTCAGAAAATTAATTGTAAACGATATTAAATTTCAGCAATAAAACATCATCTGACTCCAAATAAAGAACAAGCTTTACATCACACGAACCACTCCATGTCGTCCCATGATGTCTTCATATCCAGTTTTGTCCACTCCAACCTTGGCATTCAGGTCTCACATAAGAATCGTCAAGTCCTTTGGTGAACATTTCTCGACGATTGACTGCAGCCTTCCGTAGTATTGATCTTTAACGTCGTCATTGTAGTCATTGGTAGGTGCATAACATTGGATGACGTTCGTTCATTGTAATGTCCTGTTTCTTTGTTTTGAAGGATGCTTTGATGATCCTCGGTCCATGAGATTCCCATCCTATCAGTGCCTTTTGTGCATGTTTGGACAGCATCAGTGCAACTGCTTGTGTATGTGAAGCATTTTCCTCTTCATGACCAGAGTATAACAGCAGTTCCCCTGAAGCTACTCTCAGTTGGCCTACTTGTGTCCAATGCGTATCAGAATGGTTGGTGTGGTTGTGAGAAGAGGCATCGGCCCCGTGACTTCCGAGGGAACTCGGCTTTCTAGGCGAAACTTATCCCATACAATTCACTCTTTATTTTCACCAAAAATCACTAACTAAATCCTGTCAACCAAAGGTATGTACACCGAAAAACTGTCGAATAACATTCCATCCAGAAAACATTATCTAAAGTGTGACATATCTGAACTAGATTTATAGCTGTGTGATCTGATATCATGTTTTTATGAAAGATGATTCAAAATGTACACAGAACATTTCCATTGAGGAGGAGTTACACACTGCAATGAAACATTTAGAATTTCATATGATTTACACTCAGCCATTTATATAAAATTCGCTTTAAAAGAAGTGGCAAGTTGCATTCC